TCTCCCTCCTCGGAAAACCTGTTTTATCATCAAGGCACAGACTGTTAGCAGCTAGTCGGCATAGTAATTGCAGTTTTGTTTTAGTTATTGCTGAACTGGTTGTGTATTTGTTTTGGTGGGCGAATCTAAAGCCGACTGTTGCTATTCTGTGCCATTGTTGTAATGATACTAGGTATAGTTGGTGCAGCCACGAGGCCAGAGCATCATGGAAGGAAAAGTTCTTGGCTTCATCATGTGGTTTATCGGAGTGTTTCCACGAGAAACACAGGAACTAGACAGCAATCTCCAGATGATTATCTACGAGCTATGTCACACTTGGGATTTGAATCGCATGCGATGTGCACTCGGCTCTGTCGACATCATCTCTTTCTGCTGTCTGCATATAATGATTCAACACAACCTCGGTGAGAAGCTACAACCTGACTGAGCATTCGACATTGTCCATTGACCATTGTCGTCCAAAATGAGCACGTCAGCAACTCGTCGTTATGTGTCGTCACGATTAGGCGTTTCTGTATGGAAAATGTGAAGTGCAACCAATCATATGCTGGATAAGCAACTGCTGCATAGTGAGTTCATGCACCCACGTTCTCCACCGGCTATCAGTGTTGCAGGAAGGTGGTAAGGGATGCGTAGAGGACAACACTTGCCATGTCTAAGAGTAAGCTTAATTTCCTGCTGCACCGACGTCGAAAGTGACAGCAACTCCAAGGTGCCACTCGGTGTTCGAGATCCTGAAGCATTCTGCCACTGTGCAGAATATGAAGTGGATCTCATTTCCCTGTAGAGAAACACCTAATAGGCACATAGTGAGGAACACATGTATTTGTGTATTGTGGCTCAATTGGTTGAAGCGGTTCAGCTGCAAGCAAGTTGGCCAATTGGTAGTGAGCCACCAGGACAGCATTGCAAGTAAAGCATGGGCTTGACATTAATATAGAGGTTGGACTCGAGATTGACATTGGTTGTTTGCTTCACATTTTCTAACATTTCTGCCTAACTAGCAGCAGTAACTAGTACACAGGAATGACTCATCAAATGTCATAACAGTTTGTGACTGATTTTAGCCAACCAAAAACATGGACCACGATCAACCTAATCGATATAGTGGATAGACAAGATATCTTTCACCATACAAGTCTGGAGCAAGACTAGGGGTCCCAGAAATATTTTCAACATGATTACAGTATCACTGATTAAAGAATTGGTGATATTGAGGATGTACTACGAGATACACATAGACATGTAATTTTATGATTTTAAAACGGGTTTTCCTTGGAGCTTGAATTTGCAAAATGTGTATTAACATGTGTGTCTTATAGTTAAGTGTATGGGAGTTCCTAACTTACGAGTATGCGCGAATACTATTGTGGGATCTGGTATTTTGCTTTTTGGAGAGGTAAGCATTTGTCTGTGAATGATGGAAATGTCTTCGGTAAAATAATATAATCCTACGATACTTGCTCATGTTGAATTTCTAGAGTTGGCAGCCCAAGTTTCTACAGATGCAGAAACAAAACCTGTAGAGGAGGAGGAGGATGAGGAGGAGGAGGAGGAGGAAGCAGCAGAAGAAAAAACCAAGGCTGAGAAGGAGCAGGAGGAAGAGATGGTTGAAGAGGAGGACATAACAACTACTGCAGATGGAGATGCAGATGCAGAAGCAGCAGTCGCAGTCGAAGACGCCCTCTCCGACAAACAGGACGACAACAAACCTGAGGGCAACGAGGATGGCTCCCTGGATGTACACGTTACAGAGAGTGATGAACTCGACACCGACCTCCTCACCACTGAGGTGGAGAAGACGGAGGAGGTTGCTGAGGAGAAGCCTGCAGCCGAGCAGAAGGAGGAGGGGGAGGCAGATGAGCAGCCTAAGCAGGCTGAGGACTCTTCCGATGCTGGGCAGAAAGAGGAGTGTCCGTCCGACCAGCCAGCTTCTGTTGCGGAAGCTGCAGAGGAAAAGAAAGATGACAAAGGTGTAAAAGAAGCAGCAAAAAGCGAAGCAGCACAGAAAGGAAAGAGGTTTGTCTCCATGCCTTTAATAGTGAATCACCATGAGCTTCCATCCCATCCCCAAATTGCGTGTGTCAAGGTGAAGACCTGGCCGGTACGGGGGGTTTCTGTTGGGACAAGGGAAAGATTTGTCATCCAGGTTGCTTTGTATGTCCATGAATTCTAAAACCTGTATGTACCACCTGTGCCTATTTGTGTGTGTGTGTGTGTGTGTGTGTGTGTTGTGAATCTACTTCCATGTGCGCAGTAGTTGAATTATAATGTTTGTTGGGCAAGGCAGGTGTTTTAAAAGGAATTTTGGGAGCACCATTGCAAGTTCCAGGGCATCAAGTCAAACAGTTCCTTGAAATGAGTGTCACCAAGATAACTAACTTTTTAGCAACACCTTTTTTTATGGGACAGGGATGAATACATACATACACAACAAGAAATTAATGGGGAGGGCACAGAGGCAATTCAGCTAGGGAAACCATTTTGGTTTACTATTGTGGATATCGTCCTATTTTCGCAGCGCAACGGCAAGTAAGGAGGTCACCCGCCAGTGCTTGCCGTCAGTGCCATTGTGAAATTCAAACCCTGTGTATACTCACTCGACTGGCATGTCACTGCGTGTTTTAGATTACTAACCTTTCACTATTGCCAAGTTATTCACTTCATTCTCTCAATCAAGAATACAATGCGTACCCAATACGTAAATGTCGGTCGGTATCGAAAAAAGAAAACTACAGGTCGTCGGTGGCTTCTACTCTAGTTGGTTTGTATCGATATATGCATTCACGATGCCTGCGCAATCCAAATGAAGACGGGAAGGAAGAAGAGAATTTCGATACAATTACGGTAGTAGGCTCAGAATACGACGATTGTTTGCCCCCACACGATAAAAGAGCCACTGGTAGCAGCGGTTGGGCGGCACCCTACAGGCTGGAGTCGTGGCTAGACTCCACTGATGCTGAGATGGACATCCACCCATAACCTGGTTGCATCGATACTATGCTCATCACAAAACCCCAAAATGCTCAAAGCAGGTGGTGTGAGTCGTGATAGCTGCTGCGTCTGCGATGGTACTGATGCTGAATCGATCGTCGTTATCAAGGCTCTAACGAGCGACCATGCGCGTGTACTTAGCGTTAGCAGAACATGATTTAGAGCCACCTATAACTCTTGTGTGTATTACCACTGTTCACATGCATTTGCATCTGTCTACTGATTCCACTTTTCAGAATATAACCACCAACAAACACCAAAATCTCATTCACTCACCATTATCTAATAGCACAAAACTAATATTTGTCTATATCAAAAACCCTTTCAGCACACCTTCTACGGATACTAAACCAGTTGCCGCTAAGGAAACAAAACCAGTTGGAAAGGATCAGAAGGGTGAGTCAAAACAGGATGCAAAATTCGCCGCTATGAACCATGATATATTATATTATAGTTTATACAGCTATTGCCTGATTGTGAGAAAAATACAGAGATCTGTGGATCTCTGGTCTTGGGCTTGGAGAAATCAATGAAATTTTGCATAAAACCTTGAGTGTATCTTTAAATGAAACACCCAAAGTCACTTGAAGTAAAGCTTACACAGTAAGGCCTTAATTAAAAAAGTCTTTGTTTGCCCTCACCCGACCCAGGCTGAAAAGTTTGGGTAGTTAGGTCGGTTGTATTTCTTTTTGAGGGCGTTTTTTTTTTACAAATTCAGCATCCATGGTGTCTACGTGCTCGGGTGTGCTTGTGTGGAGATACCTTTTATGTTGAATGTTTGTTTTGCTTGGTACATATAATGTATTGCCTACAGTTTTATATAATGTACAGTGATACAATTTGTTTAAAAAAAAGAAAGAAGATCAATAAAAAAATTTGAGTCGGCCCATTTTTGGCGGGTCGGTCGGGTGAGGGCAAACAAACAATATTTTTTTTATTATAGCCTAACGCTGTTTCACACAGTACGAAACAGCATTGAAATAAAAACCTAGAATTACAAACGAATTGTACAAATTACTGTGTGAATATGTTTCATATTTTGTGAGTCAATTTTTTACATTCACAAAAATTGAGTCGTTCCAAAAATTTAATTATACCCTTTAGGTGCAAACCAGCATGCTGTTGTGGTAAGTAGGATAAAGAAATCATTGTTTATACCTTCATGACTCAGTTTTCCAACCATGAAAACCTGTTACAATGGTTATTTATTGTGTGTAACAGATCACAAGCACAGTGTTGCTAGCAGTAGCCTGTCGTCAGGTAGAAACCTGTGGGTGAGTGGTCTGTCTTCCTCCACACGAGCTACAGACCTGAAGGCTGTCTTTAGCAAACATGGCAAGGTATGTCACATGCGTATATATATATATATATATATATATTGCTTCTTATAAAGGCTTTGTTATGCACCGTTGTATGTTACATAGTGAACGTCTCGAGTTTAAATGAAAGGTTAATTGTCATGAGTAATCTTACATTTTAACGAAACTGTTTAATTTCACTAAAGAAACTCATGTATACAACCTGTTGTATATTGTTTTGTCTCTAGTTAATGCTTACACCTTAATCATTCTCCAGGTGATCGGTGCTAAGGTGGTAAGACGACCGCTCGCGACACGTGACTGGTGCACGTTGCTATGGTTTCGTCACAAATGGCCAACCCACCGAAGAGGCAACCAAGTGCAGGTCCAGCATCTACAGACAGGAAGAGCTGCATGGTCGCCATGATCAGCGTAGAGCGTGTGAAGTCATCCTGGCTTTAATGAGAAAACTGAAAGAGAGCTATGTGCCAGAAATATCGTGTGGGGTATGTAGAGAAACGCGTTGAAGTGCTTATGTCAAGCGGTAAAGAATATGACCGTAAACTAAAACTGTCCGGGGTCTAAGTCAATTCTGAATTTCAGGCGAAGAACATCCTGCATTCCTCCCTGGTAAGAAGGCAGTGCTTGGCATAGACCGATAAGCACATTTCAAATTTAAGGAGAAGCATGTCACAAACAAGATCGGCGTGAAAAGAAAGGATCTGATAGAGTGAAAAGTTGGTAAAGTTAACCAATGTTCTAAAGTTTTTGTTACAAAGGAACTATTGCTCAGGAAACGCTGAACGTCCGAAAAATATAGCGAAAATATATAATTCTCACCTAACAGCGGATATATCCAGTGATGAAATTAACACTCGCCAGTCGCTGAGCAAGTAAAATAGATGTTGGGCCGCCAGAATTTCATTGAAAGTCGGAATGCGAGGCTTTTGTTTTTAGCCATCTGACATAGTCAGATGCAGCTCTGTAGAATGGCCATGATTCGTCCGTGCGTCGTCCGTCCGTCGTCCGGCGCCGTACCGTCCTCAACAGTTGGGCAACAAATCTTAACGCTTCGACGTAACGGTCTACGATATCTGTGATCGTTGGGGGGATTCATCAAACGAGTTGGAATGTTGAAGCTGGGGGTCAAATGGCAAAGGTCCAAAGGTCAAGAGGTGTAAAAGAAGGGGGAACATTCACGTCCTTAACTTAAGGTATAGGGAGGACAATGCATGAAATTTGCGGCACAAATCTAACGGCTCTTCGACTATGCTCGTGATAAGTCGGTGTAATAGCATCATGGTAAGGACAAAGCCATTCACTCGTGCAGTAAAAATTGGAAGGTCAAGACAGGGTCAATAGGTAATGGCAACAGGGCAGATTTTTAGACATTTTCTGAGGACATTGGTCTGACGGGCGATTGAAACTTTTGTTTTCAGCGGTGTACCTAGCATTTGTTATGGCTTATTGAAAGGACGCGATGAAATGGGTCGGCCTGGTCTGGCTGACAATCCGAAAGTAAGTGTCGGATAACCTTATTGACCCTCAAGAGGAGGGTTAAACATGGAGTTTTGTTGACTGTTTTAGACAAAGGATGAACTGCTTTTGCTATTAGAGCCCCTCCCCCCACCCTCCCCTTTCCCTCCCCCACCGGCGCCCTGCGGTCCCCACGCCTCTCTCCCCCACCCCTCCCCTACCCTCTCATCTGCGATAGTGGGCGTGTCTAACAATGATGTGTACGCAACTGCGTGTCTGCATATCTGCGCCTAACAAATGTGGTACTACGCACGACTGAAATTTTACGTTTATAATCGTAGCAACAGACCTCAGATGAGCCCAGACGCTCTGCGGCTCTTGTTATAGTTAAACATTCAATAATCAGTAGAATCACTACGATTTCAGTGCTATGATTACGCCACTACAATTCTCTCACCATTTCCTAGAATTTTGATACATTTTTTGACCACCAGAATGAAAACTAATTCACTCTATCCTGCTAGGACTAGGAGTAGGAACACGTTGATACACATGGGGGCATACACGTTCATGGGGGCGGGCATTTTTCATGTTGATTCCCTGGTGAAACGTAAACCGGGCTCTCATTGGTTCAGGGCTGGGAACTCAGCCAGTGAGAGCATGTGTTGTATATGGTGTTGTATCTGACCAGAGCATATAAACCAATGCCACCAATGCAATAAATTTATATGCTCTGATCTGACATTGCCACTGATCATTGGGAAGGAACGTGGGTTGTAACATGGTTGTAATTAGATACTAATGGAGTTCAGAGAAAACGAGAAGGCGCACTAGAGGATACTAGAGAATATACTGGTTGCGGTACGCAGCTCTGTTTTGGACAAGATATCAGCCGAGTGTTGGTCTGATACATCCGCCATTCAGCACTTTCTGTTATAGTCCTTCTCGTGTTACTATCTGACTGGTAATCCGCAAGCTTCTCTAATAACAAACTTTACACAGCATCAGTATTACACTCCTGTTACGCTAGTATGGACCTCTGTGTTTACACTCAGACCAAAATTGCTGCGGTGCGATTATTTGCATTACTGCACCCCGGTCGATGTCTCGCTCTATCGCGAGAAAGTCCGAGAAATGACAGCGGAAATCAAAAACAGAAAGCAAAATTGTAATCGTGCATGTGTTGGTGAATACGAAGGTTCTAAGACATTTTATCTTTACTCTAGACAATTGCTGTTACTCGAGCAATAGCGGTATCTTGAAAGTGGTGAAAACACTGAAGAATTCTCGTAATTATGGCTTTAAGAAGAGTATGATTTAGCACACTGAATAACGGCAGTTTTTGAAAATATACTCGACCATAAGAAAATGGCAATCTCCATTATGCCAAAACAAAATATAGGTGTGGTTACGGTTTCCCGACCGACCCTATTTATTCCCAGCGACCCTAAACATTTTATTGTCAATTTTCTTTAGTCCAAAAAATAAAAAAAAATAAAAAATGTGAATTGGACAGTTTCTGCTTCAAAAGGCACAACGCACATCCTTCGGACATGGTTCAGAAATAAAATATTTCAAGAAAATAAAATGTTTTCCCTACCAACCTACCCTATTTTTTTACGGCATGTAACGGTAACCACACATATATTTTGTTTTGGCCTTACTTAATAGTGTCCTTAAATAATTTCAGAGGTAAAAAAGGAAAAGGATAACAAGAAAACCCCTGAAAAAAAGGATGATAAGAAACAAGAGAAGACTGACAAAAAGGACATCAAAAATGAACGTGAGTATGAATGTGAAATTGCTGCATTACCAGATCAAACAGTAATCATTTTGTTTACAGTTAACATATTTTATTCCATATGAAGGTCTAATTGATAAATGGAACATAAGATTGCATATCCTTCCTTGGAAGTTAACTGCTAGATTATCTCTATAATAAAGCTATATTCAAGGTATCCAGAATATAGGCACACACCATGAGCAAACGTAGTGGTGCATTGAAATAGATCATGTAGAACTAGATAGCACACCATGTAGGGTCTGGCCAGTTAGCATAAGTGCGGTCCAGTGCAGCACTCTTGTTTTCTTGCAATGATGCTGCTAATATTAGGAAACCAATTATCATATAGCTGTCACCGAGGACAAAAAGAAGGACAGCCCCAAGACCGAGAAGGACAGCCCCAAGTCCGAGAAGGACAAGATGTCAAGCGAAGAGAAGGACAAAAACCCAGAGGATGACAAAAAGAGTGCTGAGGAGAAGGAAGCAGAGCGCAAGGCAAGAGAGGAACGGGATCGCCGAAAGGTCCTCACTCTTAAGAAAATACAGGTAGGGATGACATGCTGTCTTTTGTCTTAAGTATATATATATTCAGCTAGAATGCAGGCTGTTAGGATGTTTGGCACGATGCACATCACTTGATTTTAATAGGAGCAACGACAGCGTGAAAGGGAGCGTGATCGGGAGAGGATGCAGAGGCAGAGGGAGAGACGTGCAGAATTTGAGGCAGAGAAGGAAAGAAGGAGACTCCTCGATATTGAGAGAAGGAATCAAGAGGAAGCTCGTCGTTTGCAAGAGGAGAGGGAGAGACTCAGGTAACTATGCGTACTCTGTGTATCAGCAACACTGAAACGTAGCAGTGGATCGAGTCCATGTGTGCTGACTCTTGTGAAGTGTGTAGCTCTCACATGCTATAGTGCAGTGCTTCTTAAAATATTTCAGGGTCATTCAGCCCCGAGTCTTTATCACAAAATTTCATTCGCCTGTGACTAAATTTACTTGTGTTTTTGGTAAGTTTCATTCACCTCAAAATAATTACATTCATCCTTGGGTGAACCAATCACCCAATCACACAATGCTATAGTGTGACATTGGTTTCTGCTCCAGGTTTGAGAGAGGTAGGCTAGAGAGAGAGAAAGCAGAGGCCGAGCGACTTGAGAAAGAGCGCATTCGTCTTGAGAGAGAACGTCGCGAGAGAGAACGGCTTGAGAGGGAGAGCCAGAGAGAAGCAGACCAGCGACGCATGGATAATTTCAGGTACTGTCACACACACACATCATCACATCAAACTCTTCCACAGTCATAATCGGTCATTTCTTTATTCACAGTATTGATACTGCCTCGACATCATGTATGCTGCTTTTTTTGTCACTGATAGTATAACATGTGCAGATGTATTGAGGTCATGAACAAATCTTCTTTTTGCACATATGCTATATACTGTGGCTCTGTTAGTTGAGTGAGTACCGGGTTGTCAAAGACTCGCGTGTAGATCACACTTAGGTTTCATCAAGTTCAATGTTTTGGTAATTGAGTAGCCATTATGTTATAGGTTTTCCTTATTTAATTCACAGACGACAAGGTCCCAGCAAGCCGATGAATGGCTCACGTCAATTTGCTACTGGACCAGGTGGTGGAAGGTAGGTACCAGCTGTCAACTTGACACAGATTTTTGTCTCATTATGTAGTCAGGGCGCAGCATGAAGTGTGGCAGTGAACATGTCCGTACATGCATACCTACGTACGTACATCAGTAGTTACACAAACGTAAATGGCCTGAGCTACGGCATAGATGTTTAACACAATGGTAAAACTACGTCTAAGAGTATTACACTATATGACTATTTCGTGAAGACACCTATGTAACTTGCTGACAAACAGTCAAAACAATCACAGCCCATCCTTCGGTTGCTGGGATTGGCCACTGTACTTGGTTTTGGTTTTTCGCATTTCATGCCTTGATCATTATGACATGTCTATGCGTAGGTTTGAGGATCCACAGCGACGTCCAGTCAAGCGTCCTTTTGAACCTCGGCAAGGTGATGGAATAGTGGACGACCGCAAGAGACCTGCACCGTCAGACCAGCGCTTTGAAGGAAGAGCTCAGAACTTAGGTGGGGGGTCAGACGGCAACAGGTAAATATGTCTAGAACCACGAGTAACGATAACCTAGATGTGGTCACTTTAGTCTGAGAATCTGTGCCAATGAACTGAGTTGAATCTGTAATTACTAATATAATAAGATGCATGTCTGTTTAACAAAGAATTGTGGGTTTATATTTATGGATGTTTATGTAAATAATGGAGGTATTGTGTAACGTGAATAGAACGTGGCAGAAAGTTTCTATGACAACATGATATGCTAACTGATAACAGCCTTTGAGGACAGGTGGTTATATATAACTACCTAAATTATACCTGCTATTTGGGATAAACACTAAGTACTAGTTCTATTATCTGCAAATCCCCACAACACCTAAGAATTATGAACAGATGTAAAGATGTAAAAGTCTTTTCATGGCAAAGACTTGAAGAATGTACAAAGAGAAAAAGGATGAAAGATAGAAGAAAACAGATGTTAAGTGCGACGGGTTTCTCACTCAGGTTTCATGACTTTAACCGCGACCGTGACCGCGGGGGGCCGGGCAGCGACACGATTGACCGCCGCGTCGTGGAGAGGTACGAGCGACGGGACGTGAAGCCTTCCGACGGCCGCTTCGAGGCCCGGCGGGGAGAAAGGGAAGGCTATCGACGCGAGGTTCACCGCCGGTCACCGCCCTCTGGTGACAGGTAAGCTGTTATTATCAAGTAACAGTCTCGGGTGAAGCCAGTGCCGGAGACTTTGACATTATGTGGGATCCTGTAGGTTTGAGCGATCGAGGATTTCGCATAAAACCTTGAGTGTATCCTTAACCTATACTTCAGTAGTCCTTGATTGAAAGAAGCATAGTGAAGATAAAGGACACCTGTCTGCATTTCATAGCTGACATTTTGTATATTAGTGAGAGAATGCCCTTACTAAGATGTTTTTTAAATTGGAATCTCTTTTAGATTTGAAAGATCCAGAGATGCAGATGTAAGGCACCAACGTGACAAAATAAGTGACCGACCAAGCGACCGACCGAGCGACCGACCGAGTGACCGACCGAGCGACCGACCGAGCGACCGACCGAGCGACAGGGACAAGAAAACGGTCTCCCGACCAGGGCCACACAGATCCTCTGCTGACAAACGCGTAGGATCCGTGCCTAGTCGCGACGGTCCACCACCAGGCAAGGTGAGCCGGCGCGAGGACACGGGCCGGTCAAGCAGTGACCGGCGACGGGAGAGTGAGCGCAGTGACCGACCACGCGGACCATCTGACCGCGGTGACCGCGAGGACTCGCGTAGGGAGTGGAAGTCTGAGCGTGCGCACATGCAGGGAGATCGACGTTCTGAGAGGTCTGGTCCTGGGCCCTCACGCTCCAACTTTGATTCACGTTATGAATCGCGCAACCAAACGCAATTCAGCGATAACCGCAACAAGAGTTATGGTGGAGGCCCAGGGGGTGGGGGAGGACCTGTGATGAGTACTGGTCCTACACAGGGCAGAGACCAGTTCAATAATTCCCAAGGACCCAGTTCTCAGGGTGGACGCTGGCCAGATAGAGGGCCTGCTCCTATGGCAGTTAATCCGCCCCAGATGATGGGTCCTCCTGCAGGAAACATATACATAAATCCTCAGGGTGGGCCACCTGGCATTGTCACACCAATGGGTGGCTTTATTAGTAACATAGCTCCTGTTTTCACTGACACACGTGGGAGAGGTCCTGACATCTATGATGCTTACAAGAATTTAAATACTGGTCGCAGGTTCTAGTGTGTTGAGAGCCTGAGGATTTACAGAATGGTTGTATACATCATATTAGAATCAAGATTTCGTTGTGCCCGTTAGTTTCCAGAGTTAATGTAATATAGTATGTTTTTATCGCGTGTGTGTGTAACGTAGAATGTTACATCAGTCGGTCATGTGGCGAGATGTAAGGTGGAATGTGTGATGAGACGTTGTATGTGGCTTGCGTCATGTAGTCTCTAGACAATAGATGATCGAAACGTGACTGACAGGGAACCAGCGTGAGTCTTACTGAATTACGGGATGAACGTACATATGATTGACCTCCCTGCCTTTGTCTTCCCCTTTAGCATCCTACTGGCAGTCTCCCTGACTTAAAGTTTCTCCCTCCAGCCTCGTTCATACTCAGATTCTCTATGACTTGGTCTCTCCCTCCAGCATCATTCATACTCGGGTTCTCTCTGCCTTAGTCTCTCCCTCCAGCCTCATTCATACTCGGGTTCCCTCTGCCTTAGTCTCTCCCTCCAGCCTTCTTACTCCTTACTCCCATACGTGTCCTTTACTCCTGTACTTTGCCCTTACTCTCGTACTTTTCTGATCAGTTCAATAATAATACAATTAATTGCTCTTCGGCTACACAGCCTCGCCAATTTCTACCATCACACCTCTTTTTTATGGTTTATTTAAACTCGTAATTACGTGTTTTAGATGGCATACTCAATATTACACATTCACTACATTGTAATTGAAAATTGATATGAAAATGGTTTAAATATACATTGTAAATTTTAGTAGTTATAGCTGTGTTCACACGAGGATTTCAGTACCGTACTTGAGCATTCACACGGTAAAAATATACGCGGCTTATTCAGTACCGTACTGAAATACGCGGCTTACTCGGCGCTGAAACATTCGGCACCACGCTGGCCGCGTATTGTCTGTCGTGTGAACGCAATTTCGAATTGCGAAACTGTAGTGCGCTTACCTAGACTGGTACCCTGTTTGCTACACGACGTTAGTGTAGCGTGTGGAACTGTCGACCGGGTACCAGTCTATATTATACCTAGCCAGCTAAGCCTCGATTCTCGTGTGAACACACGGGTTGTGTTAGCCCGGTATTTCAGCCGAATTTAGCACCAGATAAGTACGGAACCAGCGAGGCCGTGTATCTCGTGTGAACGCAGCTTATATGATGATAGATGCATTACTCAGTTGTATTCGTGTGTGCTTGAATATGGCTTGTACAAGATATCACATTACATTGTATTAATTTCTGTAATACGTGTAATAGAACTCGGTAAATCACATTTATTGTATGTTATTCTTATTGTATGCTCAGTTTAACAGGAGTGTGAAGAAATGATCATAATTTTGGATTGTGAATGAATTGAATTGTGATCATTATCACATTTGGATGATAATAAATGTTTGATTTGATGTAAACTGACAAGGTTAATATAGATTCATTTCATGTGAATTCTGTTATGTTCTTGGTTCAGTGAATGATATATGCAGTTCTAATGAATGTGTCCATCTACGTATTATATGACACATTGAACTATACTTTTGACAACTGTACGCATCTGCGTTGCCATCGATTTACATAACCAATTAACCATGATACATACAATGAGTTGTGATTACGTATATTTATGACTAGCTGCGGGTACCCGCTGCGCTGGGTAAAATCGTGCTACTAATTCATACTACTAATAATTGGACACAATAGGAACATTGGGTAAAAATCGACAATATAACATTGCACACAATATCAATATTTACAAATCAGTCTAATAAGATAATAAGCATGGGGGAAAACTGTTACGTATGACATTTATATGACAGCAGAACCCAACTTAGAACCCCTGGAACATAATATTAATATGGTGGAAATGAGAAAAAGTTATTATAACAGCATGTACGAATGGGTTGCAGTTTTCATTTGAAAACCTCTTGGTAAACAATGGTTTGCGTGTTATTGTCTGGTGGAAATATGTAGAGATTGCTGGCGTCTCGAACTGTTGAGCTCACCACGTACAGCTATCCATTGTCAGATCGTAGGATGAATAAAGGAAATTGGGTATATAGTATAGATAGAGACAGGCCAGCGAGTGGGGTCTGTGTCCATTGCATACTTGTCTAGTAAATGCTTGGCGCGCAACCATGCAACATTGAAATAAAGGATTTTTCTACTGAATCAGAAAAGGCATAGCTTTCGAATGCTACAATGGATTCTGAATCGTAGCATGAATAAAAAAAAGTCGATATATGTATACCAGACAGGCCAGCGAGTGGGAAATTTGTAATTATAAAAAAATGTTTACTCACTTGGTACGCGTCTTTATGCTTGATGTTTTGAGCAATCGTAACCTCTCAAACTATATGATACTCATACTAAACTATAGGAAATCTCTAAAATATTTAGAAATCAGTCTAATCAGATAATAAGCATGGTAAAAAACTGTTACGTATTTATAGACAGCACAACCCAAGCGTAGAACCCCTGAACATAATAGTAATTATGGTGTAAATAAGAGAAAAGTTATTGTAACAGCATGTACGACATGAGTTGCACTTCTCATTTCAAAGCCACTTGATAAACAATCAGTCGTAACCTCTGAACAGGTTCCTGTTGTGCTCTGTTTAGTAGTCGGCTTCGGTTTCACAATACCAGCCAGCCTATTAGGAATCGAGCCATTGCAGCTCGGATTTTTGTCTTTGAGGGGTTTTTCACGGATTTTTCGGTGAGTTTGACGGTTTGGCAGGTTTTTTTCAGCTAGGAACACTCCCTGGGTATGAGAGATGGCCCTGTGAAAATTGCATCCAGATCGCTTGGGCGGTTTGGCCGCCTATAGGGAAGATACATACATACATACATACGAACTCAAATATATATTAGATGACATTAGTTTCTGTTTAGTCCCCCTATCGACCAAGTGATGTGATCGCACACTATTGACTAAATTGCAATGAACTAGGTTATTAATAAATATTTATTTACAAAATAATTATACTGGAAACTTGCACAGCAAATATTTACAAGTGATATAATGTAATTTAATACACATAGATGATAGCTTGTTCGTCAAGAGAAACCCAACAGCTTGTCTAGAAATGTTGCAAACTTTGAGGGTTCTCCTCTAGGAAATGGCTTCAGATTCTCCATATTCATAGATTGCAGGGTTGTAACCAAAGTACTGAAATACAAATCTTTTTGTTATAATTCATTTCTGAATTGTGGAAAAGCCTTCCTGGCAGTGCATAGACGTCAACATTGGCTAAGTGTATCTACACACACCAACTGCTAACATGTTTTATCCACTTATTCAAGTTTGTATTCTAAGTGTCAACTGTAAACCCACAAAACGGTAGCGATTTTCCTATCTCAGTCTTAGGTGTGACCCGCCGATGAGAGTTAACCTGGCATGAACCACATTGATCCTTAGTCCAAAGCAGATCCATGCAGCTTTACCAGAGAAGAAACACACCTGCAAGTTGCGTAAAAGAGATGTCCATTTGTGTAAAGCTGCTCAGCAAGCTCTAGCTGGTGATTTCCCATTAACTCCTCGTTTATAACAACTATGAGAGGCTTCCCAGCATCAAGCGTCTCAAGCACAGTGCCAGCACCTGTGGGTAGTGAGTAGCAACGTGAGTGCACTGCCAGCACATGTGACTGAGTAGTGAGTAATGACCTACACCTAGATTGATATAATGTGGGTACAGGTGTTTCATATAGTATGCAAACTTGGTGAAAGCATTTATCTACCTGGTTCACCAGTGAGAACCTTGTTTATAATAATCAACATCCTTAAAAATGTGTGCCTCAAGCCCATGGTCAGAAAGAGAAATAGCTATAATTATTATACGTTTAAAATGTCATCCTTTTTTACTTTTAAAAATTTATTATATTTTTGAATTATGATGTCATAACTACGATTGCCGATTCTGTCAAGGGCCCCTGAACAAACCTTATGCTAGCCGCACACTATCCGACCCGAGCGCGATCGGGAGGCTTACGATTGGATCGGGAGGCTTAAGTTTGGCTCGGGAGGCTTGAGTTTGGCTCGGGAGGTCATTTTGGCCCGATTCGAATTTCGAATCGGGAGCGGATAGTGTGCGAGGGCTTACGACGCAACTCAAATAGTGTGCGTGGCCATCCGACCCGATCGGCGAGCGCTGAAGGAAATTTACCAATCACAGAACAGCGCCATGGGAACGCATTCGGTAAAAATGGCGGGAAAACACTCCCGGCCCTTAGTACACGCTAAATCCGCTTGGAACGCCACGAGAGTGCAATGGCTTGCGCCAACTTTGAGTCGGACAGTGTGCGGGGGCCTCCCGATGGATCGGGAGCGGGTCGTATAGTGTGCGGGGGCACAGTGCAAAATCGGATAGTGTGCGGCTAGCATTAGTGATACGACAAATTGGTGAATTGTGACTGCGTTGCATGAGGTTTCGACTGTTCACCATTAGTAGCATTACCTACCAGCATGACTAATCACAAGATCTGCACTGCCTATGTCGTCAGCTATTGAGTTCTTGAACCTGTAATATTCCAGCTGTAGTCCCTCAACCATCTTGACATCAGAATCAAATATTCCCCTTCCCGCCTGCAGAACAACTTTGTCATAGCCGATTGAATGTAGAACCTGGAAATATGTTAATTACATGTTCTTTTTTCAATATGAATGTATAAATTATAATTTTTCAAACTTTCAAAGTTCAATACACATCAAAACTCTGTCTTTAAGAGAAAATTCTGTTACGGGTAATACATTCACACCACATGATAACTGAATACCTTGCAGAAATCTGGAGTAATGACAGTCATTATTAACCTGTCAAAACATGTTGTTCCTACAGTCACGAACACAGATTTCGACTTGCTAGAGGAGGCCGCCATATTGAAACAAAGTGACGATAGCGGCGACGTTAGCCCAGTGCGTTAGCTTTGCTAGGGTCGCTTTAAATTCTATGCTGTAAGATATTTAAGCAGAAGAATAATATGATTATTCTAATTATTATAATTTTAACTTGTTGTCAAATTACACGGCTACTAATGTTATCTTAATAAATAATGATAGAAATGAGAGCGGTTTATTTTGTATTTTTAGCAGCCTCAAGAGGGCGGGAGTTGCACAGCACGCTCGCACACAAGGTACCAAAATGTCGTGTTCTATAAAATTCGATATATTATATTAATATAGACCGTTTCTTTCCATCGTCTAACGTTAGGATACCTCGTAACCTTAGAGTAGGGATGAGAAGTATCTAAACATAGAATAATAGCTATAGTATTTCTTTTTAGAAGTGTGAAAATGTCAATCCGAAACTGTAGGTCTAAGACACAGGCACTTGAAGCGTAGCAACTGTAAACACACGGCGCCGCCATTGCGCGTACACTAACACATAATAATAGAGTTAATAGAGCTCTATTATTATGTGTTAGTGTACGCGCAATGGCGGCGCCGTGTGTTTACAGTTGATACGCTTCAAGTGCCTGTGGTCTAAGACAACTTCAACTTTCAATAACACATCTTGAACTGATCTTGTAGTTGTAGGCCCTGACGAGAAGAGGGGGGAGGAGCAGGAGAGAGAGAGAGCGAGAGAGAGAGAGAGAGAGAGAGGAGGGAGAGACGACGAGAGGGAGCGTGGCTACATAGTCGCTAAGTTGTGTTGACCCGCCGTCGTTTTCTCTCTGCATTCCTCGCGGTACTCACGCATCATCGCGCAACTGTACACAGCGACATCGCGCTGTTTCCATCGTCCCGCTCACGAATTATATTGGATACTCTGTAGGGCCCTACCAAAAGCGAGGAAAGAAATGAGAAAGCAAGACGGATCACTCGGGGTGAGAATAGGTAAGCATAAAGTACGCGGCTTCCCCCCGTGGTTCGGATTACAAACTGAGGAACTGCAGAGAGTTAGATCTACTAGATTCGATTTTCTTTTCGCGAATATTCATTTTCGAGTTGTATGTCGCTCGTTCGCTGAGTTTTGCGACCACCGGTGAACCTGTCAGGTGTCTCGACGGAGAGAGCGCGTTTTATTTGAGAGTGGCGAGAGAGAGAGAAGATGAGATGAGACCGACAGATAGAGAGGAGAGAGAGAGAGAGAGGGAGAGGGAGAGAGAGGGAGATGAGAGATTTGAGAGAGGAGGAGAGAGAGGAGGAGGGAGGGAGAGGGAGGGAGACGAGAAAGGCAACTGGGAGTAGGGCGGGAAGAAGAGAGAGTGTGTGTGTGTGAGCAAAGATTGTGGTGGGATATTATGGACGCAGACGGGTGTGTGGAGAGAGGAGACATGTGTGGGTCGAGAATGTGGTAGTTTGTGGTTGTGGAAAGGATGTGTGTGTGTGTGAGAGAGGAATGTGTGTGTGTGTGGAGGGAAAGTGTGTAGAAAGGTGTAGGGTGTGGTGCGTGGTGTGGAGGCATTGTGTGTGTGTGTAAGAGGAGATGTGTGTGGAGTGTGTGTGATGTGATTTGGTGTGTGTGTGTTATAGTGATGGTGTGTCGAGAGTGTGTGTGTGTGATATGGATGGGGGAGGCAGGTAAGTAAGGGAAAGGTAAATCGCAATGCGCTGTTCATTTGTCTGCTGAATACCGTGACCGCATTAAATGCGCACGTCCTGGCGGCCACACGTAATGAACGCCGTTGGCAACGGGGAGTTCAATATCTTTTCAGTTCATATTATCTTTCTGTGCTCTTCCTCGCTCTCTATATATCTTCTTCTCTTCTCTCTCTCTTGCTCATTTTCTAACTCTTTGTTCATCTCCTTTCCTTCTTATTTCCTTTGGTCGACCTTTTTTCGCTTTATATTTCGGCTTCGTCATGCGCTATGTCGTATCTTTCTTGTTCGTCTCTGTCACTTTTCGTTCTCTCCACATCTGATTAATTCTTTTCCCTCGCGCTTATTTCTCTCCCTCCTTCACCCTTCCTCCCTCTCTCTTTCTCTCTCTCTCTCTCTCTCTCTCTCTCTCCGCGGGATCGAAGTGCGTTCACCCTGTACGAGGCGTTTGCCCGTTGAACTCACGCAGCGCGGCACGCACGCACGCACGCACGGAGCACGCAATATGCACGCACATAGCAGCATGGACGACTGCAGATGAGGCGTGGCTGTGCACGTACGCACAGGGCGCGAACGAGCGGGTTCAATTGCTCATTTAGCCTTATGGCTTCAGGCGTCGCATGTGATAGGAGAAACCACGGGGGGAACTTTCGCCGCCGCCGCCCGTTCGCGCCCGCCACCCCCGGCCGCACCCGCCACCCCCGCCACGGCCCCGCCACCCGCGCGCCCCGCACCCCCGCCGCCCGACACCCCCGCACCCGCGGCGCGCCCCGCACCCGCCGCGCCCGCGCCGCCCCGCCCCCCGGCACGCCGCACGCCGCGCCGCCCGCGCCGCCCCGCCACCCGCGCCGCCCGCACGCCCGCGCGCCCCGCTACGCCGCCGACCGCGCCGCCCCGCCGCCCACAAGGCTTGGAGAGGTTCATAAAATGATAATGCGTAAATTAAATCAGCGAACTCTATTTACTACAATTTAATGTTTCTTAACCTCTCTTTCGCCTATATTGCCGACAGATTTCGTGTAATGCGTGCACATTATATGGTGTCAATTGTGGCGGCAGTGTGGAAGCATAGGTGCGGTGGATGTAGGCCTATATGTGTTGCAGGAGAAGGGGAATTTGCACGGCATGTACAGGAATTGTCGGCCATAAATAGTGCGAAAGGGAGTAGAGAAACATGAGATTTGAGTAAATAAGATTTCGTATTTCTTTAGCTTACGTTTTATTGAAACGCCAAAGTGCGCGGTGCCGGCTTGCGGCGCGCCACCTGCGCACGCGCGACACGGCACGCTCCCGTCGCCGCGCCGCCGCTGCCGCGCGTCACCGCAAAGCTCCGCGGGGGCGGTCGTGGCAGCGGCAGTGTGACGTCATCATAAGCGGCAATAATTCACCATAAAGGATTATCGCAATACCTACAAGGGTTTCTGTAGGGATTGCTGAGATGCCTGGGTTGCCGGGGATGTAGGACTGTAGGGATGCTGGGATGTGGGTTGCGGGGAGATTGTAGGAATGTAGGGATGCCTGGGTGCGGGGTTGCGAAGGATGTAGGAATGTAGGATGTGAATTGATGGGATGCTGGGATGTGGGATATATGAATGTAGGGAATGTGGGGATATATGATGTAGGAATGAGAGATATAGGGAATGTAGTGGGATGATCGGGGGGTGGATATAGGAATGTCAGAGATGTAGGATGTGGGATGGCGGGGATGCAGGAATACGGGATGCATGGTAGCAGAGATGCGCGATACGGGGTGCAGAGGAAACCCAGCGGATGCCAGGGACGCAGAGGAGGTTGGTACAGGCACGATGCGGGGATGCAAGGACATGGGGGGATGACAGGGATGCAGGGATGCGAGGATTCTAGGAATGCCAGGGCGTGGCAGGGAAGTGTATCCCAAGCGAAGTGGGTATATGGGGAGTAGGATGCTTGCATGCCGGGGATGCGGGTGATGCAGGATGCGGGTGATGGGGGGCTGCGGGGGATGAGGGGATGGGGATGCTGGATGCGGAGGATGCAGCGGGGATGCAGGGATTCAGTAAGCTTACAACCCCCAGCAGGGGAGGAGCGAGAGCTGAGAGGTTAATTGACAGGGCAGTCTCTCGTACTGTATTTCGGGGACTGAGACTCCCGGCTGAGTTATGGGTTTATTGAGGAGAGAATGGGCGTTAGATAGACCGCAAGCGCGAGCATGCGCTGGGTTGTAAGCTACTGATCCTGCATTCCCCGCATCCGAATCACGCATCCGCATCCCGCATTTGGCCCCGCATCCCGCATCCCGATCCGACCCGCTGCCGCATCCTACTCCCTAGTGGTCACATCCGCACCCTGCATTCCTGAATCCTCGCTCCTGCATCCTGGATCCTGTTTCTTGCATCCGCGATCTCTGCGTCCCTGCATCCATGGGTTCCTGATCCGTATTCGACGCATCTCGATCCAATGCATCCCGTATTCCTGGCATACCGCGCTGAATCCCATACGACTATCTACATGCCTATAGCAATTCCTTATATCTCCTCATCGCTGGATTACTATATCGGTGATATCCCTACGTTCAATATATCCCCGCATCCTACATTCATATATCGCCCAGGCATCCAGCATCCCAGTCATATCTACATCCTACATCTACAGTCTCGGCAACCAGCATGCCAGCATCCTACATTCCTACATCCGGAACCAGCATCGCATCCCTACATTCCTACATCCGGCCTACCAGCATCTCAGGCATCCTCAGGCGGAAGACCCTTTTAGGTATTTCATAATACCTTTATGGTGAATTAATTGCGCCTATATGAATCACGTCAGCATGCTCGCGTGACAACGGAAAGAACCGCGGGGCTATTGGGTCGACGCTCGGCAGCGGCGCGGGCCGTCGAACGGGGATGGCGTGGGTAGGTTGTCCCTGCCGAAGTGACACATAGGATAGACAGCTTGTTGCGTCAAGAGGAAAAGGCCTCAGACAGCTTTGTCTAGAAATGCTGCAAACTCTTTGAGCGCCGTTGAAGCCTCCTTCGTAGGCCAACACAGGTCTAGATCTCTCTTAGTAGTGCATCGTGATTTTCTAGCTCTTAACCAATAAACTATACGATAATATACGAAATATAATTATAATGTAAATTACCCGACTATTTATACCTTTCAAATCTGAATGTGGAAAGCTCCTCCTCTCGATTTCTTTAACCTCATGTTAGTGAACGGTCAACATTGCTACCATATGTTATTTGACAGAACAATACCAATCTTAACATGAGCCAGCTGAGCATCAATCCCTTATTTTAGTTTGTATTCTAAGCGTCAACGGTAAACGCCATCAATCTCTTTTCTGCGTAGGTCTATTTGTTCCGTTAGTCTCGATTCTTAGGTCGTTCACCCGCACGATTGTAGTATGTTAAACCGTTAGCTCCCAATTATGAACCACAGATTGATCATATAGTCCAAAAGCAGCCATACATGTCTACCAGAGATCCTGCAAGTTTTATGAGAGTCCATTGTGTTAAAAGCTGCATTGGATTCTCTGCCAACACCTCATGCTCTGCGAGGAGCTACTCGCTAACGCTAGTCGACTTTGCCCGCATTAAATTGAATCCCTACTTTTTTTGCACAGCAATATAACAAGCGGATGGAGTGAGGTGCGGTCGTTAAAATACCGAGGCATCGAAAGGTACGTAGGCGCAACAATTCGAAGTTTCCTAGCGTGAAAT